TATTTATTTTAATTGTATATATTTCATTTAATTAGTCATAGTAGTATTATTAAATTATTAATGCTTAGTTCTTTAGTTATAAAGTGCAATATAAGTTAAGTTGTTATATTTCCCTCTCATGGAGTGAGACCTTGTCGTGGTGAGGGGGCTGAGTATGTGAGGATTCATAATAAATATCACGGAAACGAGCATCAATCCTTTGTTTTAAATAGTTTTTTAAAAAATATTGATTTTTTTATGATACCTATGGTAGCCGTATTCTATGACTTACGGTTCTTAAGTTCTTATATGAACCAGTGCTCACTAAAAATTGTAAATTAGGCTTAAAGTTATTTCTGAAGAAAACACCAAAGTTATCGCGTTTCTGAACGTTCAGTCCCATCTTTCTAACTTAAGAAACAACCATGGCATTTCCGATCAATCCATTATTTTGCAGAAATAGGATAAAGTCAGCTGATCCTTATAAAATTGGGTAAGTTGGATCAGTTGGCCAAAAATAAAACCCGTAGAAAATCCCAAGTCCCTAACTTTAAAAACACCAAAGTTATGGCATTTCCGATCTTTCAGTTGTATGGCAGCTATAGGATATAGTCAGCCGATCTTTATGAAATTCGTCAAGTCGTATTTTTTTGCCAAAAATAGAATCCACAGAAAATCCCAATCCCCTCACTTTTAAAACACCAAAGTTATGGGATTTCCGATCGTTCAGTTGTATGGCAGCTATAGGATATAGTCGGCCGATCCTTACGAAATTTGGCATGTCGTATTATTTTGTCAAAAATAGCGCTCATGTAAAATTTGAACTCTCTCACTCTAAAAACACCGAAGTTATACCATTTCCGATCAATCAGTTATATGGCAGCTATAGGATATAGTCGGCCGATCCGGGCCGTTCCGACTTATATACTGCGTGCAAAGGAAAGAAGGGTGTGTGCAAAGTTTCAAGACGATAGCTTCAAAACTGAGAGACTAGTTTGCGTAGAAACAGACAGACGGACAGACAGACGGACAGACAGACGGACAGACAGACGGACAGACGGACAGACGGACAGACGGACAGACGGACAGACGGACATGCTTATATCAACTCAGGAGGTGATCCTGATCAAGAATATATATACTTTATAGGGTCGGAGATGTCTCCTTTACTGCGTTGCACACTTTTGACCAAAATTATAATACCCTCTGCAAGGGTATAAATATGAAAAATGAATACATTTGAGAGCGGGTTCCACGACAAACGGCTGGCAGATGAGAGAGGGAAAGTCGGTTTTTCCCGTCAAACCTGTTTTTTTTTCAAAGGCCGTTTGCTAGAAAAATTTGCAAACAGCGGGCATTCTGGCTTTTTTACTTAAATGATTTTTTTGGATTTTTTGGTATTTAATCGCATAATTTGGTCAATTAAATCGCCAGTGAGGCACCCCAAAAGACGCCAGGGGTAAGTTTGGAACAGGGTTTCTTCCCTTGCGGTGAACTCCCGAAGGACGTAAAGGAATGATCCGAGGCTCCACAGGATCACCCCACCGCAGCCCCGAAGAGCACCTCTCGGAGGAAAGATAGGGATCCTGAGGAGCCGCCGGGAAACCAGGAAACCGCGTGGTCGAGCTCATCTCCCCGCCAACTTACACTCCCACCATAACGGAGACCCACATGTTACGGACGAATGGACAAGTAAAGAGGCATAATTGGGACACAGAAGAGGAGAATAAAGAAGGAAGAAGAACACGCTACGGAGGTACAGTACCGTGCTGGAGGAGGTTGGAAGAGCTCGTTCATCTTGCGCTCATATTCTCATTGAATGCTTTCTGTTTCTCAGTCGCTGAAAGAAGCGCGACGAAGTAGGTTGGTCTGGGCTTGGATTGTTTTTTGTATGTATGCGTGTCACACATTCACATACACGGGGGCATGTGTGCGTGCGACTTCGTTTCGAAGCCAGCGCACAAAATGTTCATTTTTTTAACTTTTCAGACTGTCACCCTAACAAAATGCAGGTATTCGTTATTTGGTGAAATGACGAAAGAAATAATATTATTTGTTATGTTATATTTTTTAATATTTTAGTACACATTTTAAATTTATTTAGGAATAAGATTAGGTGTTAGCAGTGAATTGTTTTGTGTATATGTATACATTTTTAAGAATCATTAAAAACAAGATACTGAGAAAGGAACAGGGTATATTTCAGTCGACATCACTTAAACGCCGTTTGCTTTTAAGTTTTTGTTGTTCTGCATGAGAATTGTGTTTGCATACCCTACCGATTAATGATTTTCTTCTCTGTGGCAAGTCTTCACTTCTGTGTGGCAAGCAAATCGCTTCGATATTGGAAACACGGACCGAAATTCTCTCGATGACACTGCGAAACAAAACGTGCTTTCAAACAAACTACTTCCTACAGAACCATACAAATACCCTACCGAAAAATCACACAATAGGGGTTTTCAACCCAAGTGGATTACCAATGATTTCACTTGGCTGGCGTACTCAGCGAGTGAAGACAGCGTATACTGTAAACCTTGTTGGTTATTTTTCCATGAAAGCGTTGGATAGCTGAAAATAGGGCTGCAATCGAACCAATCATTCGGACAATTCTTTTTTGTGCAGAGCAAGAATTACCTCTGAGAGGCGATCATGATAGTGGTGCCTTATCTTTGACACGACCTGAAAAAAAAGATGGAAAGTTCAGAGCACTTTTGCGGCTTAGAATTGAGTCTGGTGATAAAGTTTTAGAAAACATGTTCTCAATAGCTCCAAAAACGCTACTTATATGGGTCCTATCATCCAAAATGAAGTCATTCAGACGTGTTCTGATATTGTCACCGAAAAAGTCATTGACAGAATTTCGAATGCAGGGTGTTTTAGTCTCCTTAGCGATGAAACAATGGTTGTTTCAGGAACCGAGCAGTTATCACTATGTATCCGGTACGTCCATATCCAAGATCTCCCAGCTCCTGTTCTTGGTGAAGATTTAGTCGGATTTATCCCAATCAACGATCAGTCTTCTGAAAATCTGGCGAACGTTATTTTGGAGCGATGTGATGAGCTCAATCTTGATATGAGTAAGTGTGTTGGGCAAGGATACGATGGGGCAGCAAATATGGCAGGTCATTTGAGTGGAGTCCAAACAAGAATAAGAGAAAATTATCCCAAGGCAAGATACATTCATTGTGCCAGTCACCGTTTGAACCTTGCTCTGTAGAATGCCATGTCTGTTTCAGCAATACGTAACTGTCTTGGAGTTGTTAGTCAAATTGTAAATTTGTTCAGGAATCATTCGAATGCAAACAAAATTTTTCAAAAACTATTCAAAAACATGCTCCAGACAGTAAAAAGAAACGACATTTCCGGCTTTGTGACACAAGATTTATCGAAAGGCATGACAGTATTATTGTGTTTTTGGAACTTCTTGAATGCATTAATATAGCTTTAAAAGAAATCGCTCAAAAAACCTATATTTTTTCTTCAACGGCATCAACTCTTCACGCAGCGAGTCAAAAAAGTGAATTTTTAGTCAGCATTGTTGTTTGCGAAAAACTGTTCAGTTTGACCCTTCCACTGTCGATTTTCCTCCAAAATAAATCATCAGATTTGGTTTCCGCTGTACAGTATACAAATGAAGTATTGAGTTCACTTCGACAAATGCGGGAAACAGCTAACGACACTTTCAGATAAATTTTTCAAGTAGCGCCAAAATTTTCTGCAGATCTTTTCGACACTGTAATTTAAGCTCCCAGAGTTACGTCACGACAAAAATCTCTGGCGAATCCGCAAACGACATCGAATGAAGAGTATTTCAGAGTCAACACATTCATTCCTTGCATCGATACTTTGATACAAAATTTGACGGACAGATTCATCAAGAACGAAGATATTTAATCCAGTTTCCAACTGCTACTGCCAGGATATGCTTGCGAGAAAAAAATTTATGAACTGGAAGAATTAGGTCCATACTTTCAAAACGAAATGCCATTGTGCGCAGTTCAAGCTGAGTACAAGTTATGGTGTACCAAAATTTCATCACTTGACCCATCAACCGAAATTTTGAGACTGTTGGAGTGTTGTGATGGAACATTTTTTCGCGGGATAAATCTTCTTCTCAAGGTCATGACTACTCTTCCAGTCACAACGGCAAGCGTCGAAAAAACGTTTTCAACAATGAAAAGGATAAAAACTCTACCTCGTAGTGTGATGGGCCACGACAGACTAAGTGCACTCGCGATGATATCAATTCACTGGGATACTGTTGTTGATCCGGACGAAGTTCTCGACCGTTTAGCGAAGAAAAAATTAAGGAAGTTACTCATTTAAGGTGTATGATCTGAAGGAAAATACATACTGCATTCACATTTTGCTATTGGCAGATATTTTTTGTGAAACAAAAATAATGCTTAAATTTTTTTTTTATCATTATAGTAACTGTTAATTGTAACCTTATACTTTGTACTGTACCTTTTTCTTGCACAATAAATAATAAAAGATCAAACGTCACGGACTGATTAAAGATTGATGTGTGGTTGCCTTTTTCTGAATTTATTCGAATACATCCACATTTTTTATTGATTTTTGTCCTTTTCTGGATACGGGCCTGGCATGGACGTAGTGTAGTGGGTGCTGGAACCAGGGCCGTAGCTAGAGCCTCGGGGGCCCTGAGGCAACAAGTAAATTTGGGACCCCCTATACGGAAGTCTTTTGCCCCGGCGGGGCCCCTTCCCTTCGGGGGCCCTGGGGCACCGCCCCACCTGCCCTATGCTAGCTACAGCCCTGGCTGGAACCTATGTTTGCTTTGGACTTTGGTTTAGCGGAAAATGAAAATTTTCGGTCTGTGTAATTTTTGTTTTCTGTTACAAATATTTCACTGCACGTTAACAAGTTACACCCCGATCGCTATGAAGGAAAAAAGAATGTTGATAACTGAATAATCAGGAATATACCAGAATAACCAGGATTCTTAAGCTAAGGTTCAAATTCAAAGCTTAAATGAGGTCTTTGTTTTTTCTTACCTCATAACGCCCGTGGGAAATTACAGAAATTCTTCGTTGAGAGATGGTTACATGTTTTATATGAGTAAAATGATCATGACCCGATTCTTGTACACTAGCTAGCAACAAAAAACTATTACCATCTGATGAAAAAACTGGGTGAGGAAAAATATCCAACCATTCATCTTCCGCAGCTCGTTCCGAATGTACCTAAAAAGAAATTTAATAAATAGAAATGAATGGTTAAAATATTTATATTATTTGTTATTTGCTATATATAAATATATAAAATATTCGTGTCACAGTTTTTGCTACCATACTCCTCCGAAACGGCTATACCGATTCTTATGAAATTTTGTGAGCGTATTGAGTAGGTCTGAAAATTCGCCAACATCTATTTTATTAAAGAGAGTTGCATCTATAAGAGCCAGAAGATACACGAGTTGAGCGCAATGAAGTCAGAAGATTAGTACAACGACAATCACGCCGTTTCACAGTCAATAGACGCAGAACAAATGACTCACAACGACAACAGGAAAATCGAGCATTTATATTCCAGTATGAGCCTGATATTGAGTATTATGCCCCCTCAAAAGTCGTAATTGGTGCTATAGACAAGGAATGTCCGCATTGTCATGCTCTGAAATTCAAAAATAAGCCAGCTGGGAAGTGTTTCGCGTCAGAAAAAGTGTAAGTACCAGAAATTGAAACACCACCTAAACCATTAAACGGTTTATCGAAAACTTAGTTATCGGCACGGATCCAGATTCTAACGTGTTTCTGAAGTCAATTCGAACATTCAATTCATGCTTTCAAATGACATCGTTCGGAGCAACAGAAATAGTTCGAAATTCTAATGCAAATGGTCAACATTACAACTCAACATTCAAAATCAGAGGCCAAGGTTATCATTAAATGGGCTCACTGCTGCCAATCCCAAGCGAACCACAAAAATTCTTACAAATCTACTTTATGGGTGGCAAGGATTCCGGAAGCGCACTTGCCAATCGCGTGAATGCACGTTGTGATTATAATAACCTTGATTCAATTAAAGCCAGACGTACATTAACGAGCTATTAACACAATCACCCGGCGGCAAATTTAGTTAATATACATAAAATCTCATATATAATAACATATTTTTTTTATTTTTTTATTATAGCTTTGTTTTTTATTTATTGAATCTAGGTACTCTTAATTTTGAGACTAACAAAAAGTTGACGAATCTTAACATTAAAATGTAACTAACAGTATACTAAGACTGCATTCTGGTTGCGCGTCCCTCAGGTCGGTCGCTGGGTGGGTAAGTCATTGCGACGAAGGCGTGATTGGTTGCTCAACCTTGTTAGCTTGGTTAAGTACTGTTCTGCGATCGCTTCTTTGACTGGTAGAATGTTTAAGTCGCGGTGTAGGTTTGTGTTGCGAACGTACCACGGTGCCCCGGTGATTGTTCTCAAGATCTTCGACTGAACTCTTTGAACTATGTTAATGTTGCTATTGCTGGCGTTCCCCCATAACTGGGAGCCGTACATCCATATAGGTTTTAGTACCGAGTTGTACAGCAGGACTTTATATTTAAGCCTAAGAGGTGATCGGGCGTTGATAAGCCAATGAAGGCTGCTGGCTTTTAGCTATAGGTGTGTTCTTTTGGCTTCATTTTGCCGGCGCCATGTGAGTCTTCTGTGGAGATGTACTCCTAGGTATGTTACTTCGTTTGCTTGTGGGAGTAGAGTGTTGTTTAATGTAATCGGCGGGCAGTTTTGCCTGTTCAGAGTAAACGTAAAGTGCTTGCATTTTAGTTCGTTCACTTTAATTTGCCAATCTGATAGCCATTTTTCAACATCGACCCTATGAAGAGCTAGCTGGGCAGTTGCTTGAATCGGGCATTTTGAGCAGCTAAGAATAGCTGTGTCATTGCCAAACGAAGATGTTGTTAGTCGTGTGCTTGTCGGGATGTCTGCTGTGTAGAGGACATATAATTTTGGCCCTAGCACGTGGGTGCTGTAGGGGAGCGTTCTCTTGATCTTGCACATTAGACCTTCTAGCTAGACTCTATCAAATTCTTGAGAGACATATAAAAATATGGCAGTACAGTACTCTCGTTTTTCGAACGCGTCCCGAATTTCTGATGTTATCCGGTTGACCTGCTCAATTGTTCCATACTTTTCACGAAACGCAAATTGGTGTGGCGGGATTCCTTCCTGGATTCTCCGGTATGTGTTTATCCGAGTCATTAGGCATTTTTCAAAGAGTTAAGGTAGGCAAGAGAGTAGGCTTATAGGTCTATACGACGTGGGGATAGTGTGCTTTGCTATCATTATTATAATTGACTTTTTCCATCTCACTGGAAAGCGGCCAAGTTTTGCGTTTTATGGCATTTCGTTTGGGCGAAACTCAATTGGCTCATGTTGAGGCTGGGGCTCATATGATAGAGTCGGCAAAGTAAACGCATTTTTAAGGTATTTGGCTCTGTCTGCGTCGCTGCGCGCCCACCCGCCTGTGGAATTTCTAATTGGAATCACGGTTTCTTTCGGTGAGCTCAGAGTTGGGTGAGCTCTCCATAGTGAGTGTTTTGTACTATTAGTTGACAATTGCTCTATGTAGCGGCGGTGGACATACGTTTCTTCTTGCTGTAGAGCTGGATCAAGTTGACGTGAGGCATGTTTTAAGCGTTGCTTAGCAGATGGCGATCAGTGACATTGCCATTCTCGACGTAAGCGTCGCTTTTCGAGGACGAGCAGTTCGATTTGTAGATTTGTCTTCTTTTGAATGCATTGTGTGTTTATAGTTTGAGGTGTTAAAACTCGAACTGCAGAGACGAGTACAGACTCCAGTGAATTAACAAAACTGTCTACGTTGGACTTCCTGTACTTAACCCAATTGTTGTTATGTGAGCAAAGTCTGTTAAATCAAGAAGTTTCTTTGGATCTACCGGCTAGTATGTTGGTGTGCCAGAAGAAACATAGTCTAGCTTGTTCTTAGCTTTGATAATTGCATTATAGAGCTGCTTTCCTTTTGGGGTCACAAGACGAGATCCCCAGTGTGTGTGTTTGGCATTGTAGTCTCCAGCTTCTATGAAGTGGTCTCCGAGTGAGTTGAAAAACTGCATAAACTCATCTTCGCTATGGTGAAGAGTGGGGGGCAGTATACGGCGGCTAGAGTTAATTGCTTGCCAGTATCACTAACCATACAGGATATGGACAATCCATTTTATACAACGAAAATGGACGACAAAATTTCTTGTGACAGGCCCCAGCAGGCCCCAGAGCGAAATCTTACTCTCTTTCTTACGCTCACCGCTCGTTCATCTTGCGCTCATATTTTTATTGAATGCTTTGTGTTTCTCAGTCGCTGAAAAGAGCGCGACGAAGAAGGTTGGTCTGCGCTTGGATTGTTCTTTGTATGTTTGCGTGTCACACATTCTCATACACGGGGGCATGTGTGCGTGCGATTATGTTTCTAAGCCAGTGCACAAAATTTTGATTTTTCTAACTTTACAGGCTGTCTACCCTAACAAAATTCGGGTCTTCGCTATTTGGTAAAATCACGAAAGAAATAATATTATTTATAATATTAAATTTTTAAAATTTCAGCATACATTTTAAATTTATTTAGGAATGAGATTAGGTGTTAGAAGTAAATGTTTTGTATATATGTACATATTTTTACGAATCATTAAAAACAATATACTGAGAACGGAGCAAGTTATATTTCAGTCGACATCACTTAAAACGCCGACAAAACGACTTTTAGGGGAGTGAGCAGACTTTCTTTACTTCTTCGAAAGGAGCAGACTGAAATCTTTACTTTAACTTTTTTCAGTCTGTTTTTATGAATTTTTTTAAATTGAATTTTTGTTAAAGTGAAGTTATTTTCTTATTTTGTCAACTTTAATGTAATCAATGTAACCAATATGTGTTTCTGAAAACAGAATTACGTCGATTTGATTGTTTAGTAGGAATTGCGCTATTCGAGTTTATGTTGCGAAACGCCGTTAGCGTTCCACGTAGATATTTGTAGGGAAGTCATTATGTGGATTGTTGTGAAACCAGCATATGTATTAATAGATTTTGGTTTCGCATTATATCTTGCATAAGTTGTACGCATAAACGAAATAAACTCCGTAAGGCTTTGTTGTAGACTGCATATCATAGCTTCAAAGTTACTTTTTGGCTGCTCCGGCGGTTGATGCTGCTGAGCCGTGTTCGATTTTTGGTGTGCTGATTGCGGTAGTGAGCTTTTTGAGGCTGGGTAGCCTGTCCTGATTTTAAAGCGCTTGCGTATGTGACATTTTTGGCAGAGTTTATGGGTTCAGAAGGCAGTCGAGAAGAAGACTTCTGGGTTTGACCTGGAGGCTATGAACTGATTATTTTGGGCGCGGGCAGTAAATCCTTTCTGGTGGATGCGACTATTCAGCTCCTTATAAACTGGGAAACCTCTTTAGTTATCAGTTTGATTTCCACCGCATATTCCGCACTTTTTCGAGTTGTGGTCATCTTTGGGCAGTGTGCAGAGCCACAAACTACACACACCGGGTGCAGTTTACAGTAAGACCTTGTATGGCCATATTCTTGGCAGTTTGCACATTGTACCGGGCCATTGCGTTTGTGTGGCTCCTCAACAGTAATTCTGCGGTGCAGCAGGAACGGAAGATTCTATATAGGAGTTCAACCTTAAAGAGTTCCTGTGGCTTTCTATCCCTGTTAAGGATATTAAAGACTGTCTTAATGATAAATCCCTTCTCTTGTAGCGCCTTTGTAATCTCTGCAGGCGATACTTCGGACTCTATGCCCTTAAGTACGACTTGCAGGCCCTTGCTGCTTTTTAGCTGATACGTGTGAAAGTTCTTTTTTTTTGTCGGTGAGGTATTTCGATAATACTCTGTAATTATCTTCAGACTTCGTTTGAACTTTTGTTTCCTGGATGTTGCCCTTTACGAGTGGTATTATGTGGAAGTTGTCCTTGCCAATAAGCTCTATAATTTTGTTGACAAGAACGTTGGAACTTTTTTCTCGTATGTAAATTGGCGGGGGCTTAGGCTTCCTTTTTTCGACTTCTGTAGATTCGGCGTCATCCTCATAGTCTGGCAAGATTTTAAAACGGTCTGAGTTCGTGGGCGTTTCTATTGCAGCTATGCTAGCATTGCCAAGGGTTATTTTGCGTTGAGAGTTTAGGGGGCTCAGCTTCCTTTTGATTTGGATGTAGCGATC